GTGGCATTCAAGGCCCTGCCCAGGCTGGGCCCAACCCACTCGGCTGCAGTTTTGTGCCTGCCACCTCGTCACGCCTCGGCCAGGGCTTGGCCAGCATCTGTGGAGCAGCAGCCTCGGGGCCCAGTGGGCAGATGTGGCGCTGCCCTCAGCGAGCCTGCGTTTCAGCATGAACTCCTACCTATCCCTCAGGAGTCCTTTCAACGCTCCCCTCCCCTGTGAAGGCCCCTCTGGAGTAGCCCAGGCAGCACGGACAGCTGCTCCATGCCGACCCCACTGCAACAGGCCTGGGGCTTGGTCAGACATGCGGAGGGGCCTGATGGCCCTGTGGTCCTGAGCTGGGCTACCAGTCAGAAGGCAGGCACTTCGACCCTGGCTGCTGGTCCACAGGAGAGAGACGTGGCCGTCAGCTCCTATGAATGTGAAAACCTTGGGAGCCCTAGGCTAGAAACACATTTGCTCATCTGCACGACTTCCAAGATCAGAGGGAGCACCGACTCCATTTCTGAAGTGAATTCCTGGCCGCGCCACGGGGTGACCCACACGGTCCGCGTCCTCATGAAGCCCGCCGTGTTGACCCTCATCATCTGTCAAGTGTCGAGGAGAGAACAGAGAGAGAAGGAAGGGCCGACGGAGGACGCAGAGACCGAGCGTTGGGCGTGGTTGGAAGGATGGATGGGCGGAGTAGGCATGGAGGAAAGGACACGGGGGTCAGAAAAGGGGGATGGACGTAGGACGACAGACATGGATGGGGAGGAAGGAAGGAGGCTGGATGGGAGGACGAGGTGGTGGAGGAGTGAAAGGAGAGGTAAGTGAGAGAAGGGCAAAGATGGCAAGATGGGAGGACGGAGGACGGAGGATAGGACAGGATGAACGTACAGTGAGAAGAGGGTCACTTCAGGATGGACAGCGGGACAGGCGGAAGGCAAGGTGAGGCCAGGCGGAAAGGTGACGGGGGACGCAGAGGGAAGGGTGAGCTGGTCAGGGGCAGGTTGGACGGGTGATAATGCGGCAGCTGGAAAGACGCTCAGAGGACAAGGGCGTCCCGATGGACTCAGGCTCAGGGTGGTGCGGGCCTTGCCCTCCCCTGTCTCCTGGCAGGTGGGCATTGTCGGGAGGACAGGCGCTGGGAAGTCCTCCCTGGCTGGGGGCCTGCTGCGGCTCCTGGAGGCAGCAGAGGGCGGGATCTGGATCGACGGAGTCCCCATCGACCGCGTGGGGCTGCACACACTGAGGTCCCGGGTCGCCATCATCCCCCAGGTGAGGCCAGGGGCTGAGGGCAGGCAAAGGGCCAAGGCCCAGCCCCCGGTCAGCCTCTGACCTTCCGCCTCCCGGCCAGGACCCCATCCTGTTCCCTGGCTCTCTGCGGATGAACCTGGACCTGCTGCAGCAGCACTCCGACGAGGCCATCTGGGCGGCCCTGGAGACAGTGGAGCTCAAAGCCCTCGTGGCCAGCCTGCCTGGGCAGCTGCAGTACCAGTGTGCTGACCAGGGAGATGGCTTGAGGTAGGGGGTTCCTGTTGCGGCCAAGGCCCCTCTGGGGGCGGGGGTGTGGCAGTGAATGCGGCTGAGACACCCTTATCCTGGACCCCAGATGGGTCCTCTGGAAATCTATCTCCTCTGTGGGATTATCAGCTCCAGGGCGGAGCAAACAGATCGCCCTCGAGGGCTCACCTAAAGGTTGGTGGTTCAAACCGACCCAGCGGTTCAGAAAAGGAAGTGCCTGGTGGTCTGTTGAGCTGGCGGCCCCGACAGCCCAGTGGAGCAGCTCTACTCTGACGGTTCTGGGCCCCAAGAGTCGGATCACAGTCTGTGACTGTTATAACCACAAGGCACGTCCAGCTCCCAGCCAGCCCACGGGTGCACATGGAGACTCGGAGGGCTCCTGGGCCGTGGAGGGCACGGTGGGCTAGAAACACTGTGCCCGTTTCAGCTGGGAGGAAACCAAAGCACAAAGGGTTTGACTGGCCCGCCTGAAGTCACCCTACCTGAAAATGACCTTCCCAGCCAGCCTCAAACCAGGGGTGCTGTGTGGGGGTGTACACCCCATTTTCGTGGCTGTGGCGGGGACCCATGGGTGGAGGGGGGCAGGCACCCAGGCTGACGACCCTCCCGCCCCCCAGTGTGGGCCAGAAGCAGCTCCTGTGCCTGGCGCGGACCCTGCTGCGGGACACCCGGATCCTCATCCTGGACGAGGCCACAGCGGCGGTGGACCCGGGCACAGAGCGCCGCATCCAGGCGGCCCTCGGGAGCTGGTTTTCCCAGTGCACCGTGCTCCTCATCACCCACCGCCTGCAGTCGGTGCTGGGCTGCGCCAGGTAGGCACCTGCACCCCTATGCCACTCCCGCCAGGCCCCAGTGTCCAGAGGGCCCCAGTGTGTAGCGGAAGGGCTGGCCACTGCTCCCGCCCATGCGATGGGAGTTTAGCGCCCCTAGAATGCATTCTGAAGTGCCCATTGTCTAGTCGGTAAGACTGACGCCTCCAGCCCACAGACACATGCTCATCAGATACCTCCGGCTTCGGGGAACCCACCTGGGCATTCCCACCGAGGTCTTGGTGGTGCCGAGGGCTTGGGCTGCTGTTGACGGAGCTGCCTCTCCTCCCCTCAGGGTGCTGGTCATGGACAAGGGGCAGGTGGCAGAGAGTGGCAGCCCAGCCCAGCTGCTGGCCCAGAAGGGCCTGTTCTACAGGCTGGCCCAGGAGTCAGGTCTGGTCTGAGTCAGCACTCCCCCTCAACCTTGGGACGAAGACACACAGAAGTGGCAGGTCACCACGGAGCCTCAGGCCTGGAGGCACCCAGCAGAGCCAGCTCTGGAAGCAGCTCCCAGCCCTGGGGCTCCCATGGGGAGCTCAAAATAGACCCACGCCCAGACCCCATGCCAACACACTGCACCAGCCTCCCTGGCATAGCGGGCCAGGGCCTTTCTTCTGAGCTATGACTGTTCATGCACAATGGTGAGAGACAGTGCAAGAGCCTGCACCCCTTTGTCCAGTTCCCCCCAAACACCAGGCGACTGACCTTCCTCTGACCATCA